TCTGTCAGCTTGTTGTCGAATCTTGTGACATCATGTTCCCCCTTGAAGCACTACTAATACATCTGAAACCTCATGAAAACTTTGTCCTTTTGTTGGGTTTTTTATTTTTATTGTTTAAATTGAGTTTACATAATTCAGTTTCTCTACATCTGGTCCATTTAAATAAGGAGGTTTAACAAAATCAAACTCAAATCCTCAAATGTAGCCTACGGTTGGGAACTTTCAGTTTCATAGCAGCTGCTTTTAGTTAGTTTAAGCAACTTTGGGTAGCTTCACTTAGAGTGGAGCATGTGTGTAACAAGTATGATAAGCCATTATCAGTGGAGCCTGATTCAATGAGTCACCATGACGAGAGACAACAACCAAAAAATGGACAAGGTGTTTAAAAGACAGAGAAACGGTGCTACAGCTTCAAATGAAAGGAAAATGGCCAAATAGAAGATTGTTGCTTGAGTTAATGTGCAGGTTTATATGTAGTCTGGTATACCAGGCCGCTTTTACATTTATTAAAATCACTCTCCTCTCTGTTGTTCCATTTGTAGATCACTTAAATAGGATTCTTCCTGGTCAAAATAACACTCCTAGTTGGAACTGTAATAACAAAATTTCAAAATTACACTTTTGCAGATAAAAATGAATTTTAGAAAGTAAACAGACTAAATTGTACTAGTAAGAATTAAGTTTTATATACCAAGACATGTTTAGACATATCAAGTGGCGTTTTTTTACGTTTATCAGCTTGACTTAATATATGTATTCATGATATTGAAACACTTTTCTTCAAAGTCAAAATAATACAAATGCTGACCAGTAAAAGTAGGAAATATGGAAATCTGAAATAAATTTCTAGACATCCAGCATATTTGTTCTAGATGTGAAGAATGCAATTTTGTTTGAAACGGTCGTTTTGACAAGGAGAAAACATTTATTTTCAGATATTAGATATACATATTCAGTCAAACTAATACATGGAAAACTCAGAGTTACTGAAAACTTAGAGTTTTCAGTAAACCTACTTTTTGAAACTAACTCCTGGTTTAAATGTTGCCTTTTTAATATAATATTGAACTCTAATATGTATGCCCCACTTTCTCCCTTGTTTATCAAACTGACTTTATGTTAGTTTAAGTAAACAAGAACTATAAATAATGCATATTCTAACCCATCATGTGCACATCTAAATTTCAAGCAAGCTTTTGTCTTCTCCTTTTTGTTATTTATAAGGGTAAAAAAAAAAACTATTTGTAAGCAAATATATCTGCCTTTTCTATGGCATCCAATTGTAAGCCTCTTTTAACAAGTTAGTATTTAGCTTTTTTAGGCTGACCTATTGCTTAGCAAACCTAAGCAACCGACAAACATTTAGCTGGCATCAAATTGGTTTCATGTGGAGCGGGAAATTAAGACAGCTTTACAGCTTTGTACATTTTGAAAGTTGAGTACCCTTTAGGATTTTCCCATGTAGTTGTGAGAATTATATGTAATCACAGGTTTTATATCTTTCCCTTTGGTGTGCACAAGTTCCAGGACTAAACTAGGTACTGGACTTGGGGTTAATAGAATAGTAGAAATTCAAAAAACAGGATAGTAACTTGCAGCAAAAATAAGTACCCCTTGGGCTTCGAAGTTGTCACTGTGTAAAGAATCCCTCTTACAGCATTAGTGAGGTGTTTGAAAATAATGTAATAGGAACCACAATAGCCGGAAGACATGTTTATTTTCTGTGGAGGCATATTAACTGTTTCTTCAGGCTGCCACAACAGGGAGTTAGACTTAAACAGGAAAGAGAGAAGCCAAAAAGAATTCTGGCAGATATGCTCTACATGATCCATTTTTATTGGTCAGTTGTTTCTTTTACTGAATCTAATGGTAACTGAAATATGGGCAGTTTGCTGGAAATCTCATAGCTAAAATCTACTTATTCTACAGGAGACACGCAAAGCAATTACTTTTTCAGATGGCCAATAATACTTTAGGTGTAAAATGCTGATCTAAGACAATAGTACATCTTTTTTATTTCTTTTAAATTTTGAACTGAAGACACATATATTATTTATAATGAAATTATTTCAAAAGGGAAACGTCTTTTTAAATTGTGCATGTTGCACTTTCTGAGGAAAAAACAACAATCTATCAAAAAGTAGTGGTTGAAATAGTAATATGATGCAGCTTTGCTCAATACAGTGATTTGACTTTTGTTTTTAGATTGTTATCATACATTGAAGTAATTGTTTTTATTATTTTTTTTTTATAAACATAATATTTTTTTTGTTCTAATGTTTTTTTTAAAGGCAGTTTAGTTTTCATTTTTCCAAAAACAAGAAGGTGATGTTTTTGTACGGTGTAGCTTATACAGTATGGTAGTGCTTCAGTGGAGTTACAGTGTTTTTTTGTTTAGTTATTTATTTATTTATTTGGTGGAAGTTTTTTTTTCATAGTTTTGCCTTTTTTGCTAAGAATATGTGGTGGTTGAAGCTTGGTAAGAAAGGTCCATGCTGTCTGTTTCTGTTACAAGTGCAAAATAAATGTTTGGAAAGCTCTAGATCAGTTAAAAGTTATTCTAAGGCCAATGCAAGTGTTTTAGTCATGTCAACCAACCCTAGACTGAGAAAAAAGACCAGAGAATACCAGAAGCAAGATTTTAGTGAAATGAGACCAAGTCAAGGAAAAAACCATCCCTGCCAGTATTTAAAAACAATCTTCCTGTGAAAGCTAATGAAAAATGCTAACCCTGCACAGAAATGTTTATTTAACAAAAGGCAACATGTTCCTACTGAATTTCTGACAATAAATATCAACCCCAATCCAACAATGAATGACTAAATAAATGCATAGCTACAAAACTTTTTATTGTATATGAACAACAGCAGATTGAAGAGAATTTAAGAAAAAATACCCATTATCAATAACAAATTCTAATGTAAACAAATACAAAATAAGCAAACATTACAGACACTGTATCTCCAAGAGTCTTGTGTTCATTAAAAATTTACTTGCATAAAAGTTCATTGTGGGGAAAATTGACAGGCCTGGGAGTCCTAACCTCAACCTTCCAGAAAATCTTTGAGATAAATTAGAGATTATGCCGCAATTCTAGTTTTCTCATCTAAGTGTGAACCCCCCACTTAGTAACTCTGGGGTCAGCCTACTTTGGCTTTCTCCTAAAATTTTGACCCAGGCACTGAATCTTCTCTGTGATAGTGGAAGAGATCCACTCTGAAAATCAACATTGCAGACTTTGACAGCACAAGGAAGCAGCCTATGAGAAATTTCACTAAATTTTATTTCATTTTTTTTTTAAATATTTAAATTTAAGGCTTTTGCTATAATGCACTTGATATGCATATGCAATAAACATGATTAGCAAATGCTTTGGTATCATGGAAAAGGGAAATGTATGAGGAGAGAGAAGTAAAAACGGAGAAAAAAAGGATAAAGTAGATAAAGGCCCCAGCCAGTAGTACTGGTTTCAGATGTGATCAACCATTAAATGGCAATTATTAGCAGTGATCAGCCCCATATAATGGCTTCACTCTGCCTCCTCTACCTTCTAGTAGGTTTCTTATGGCTTACGTCCTAAGTCAGTCCTCAAGGGGCACTGTCCTTCAGCTTAGTTATGCTGAAGCTTCTCTGCTTCAGCATAACTAACTCTTATAACTCCAGTTCAGCAAGAGCCTCTTAATCAGCTATCAATAGAAATAATTTGTGCTGAAGCAGCAAAACCTCTATAACCTGCAGAGTGGCAGACCTCGAGAATCGAATTTGGACATGCCTGCCATACAGAACCTGGCACTCCCCACAGACATTCTTTACTCCCAAGTACCCTAGTGGGTTAACCAATTCATGTTCTAAGGACATGTTCCCCTTCATTCCAGGATGGAGGCAGGCAGATTGTCAGGGGCAACGATGGCCAACTGCAACAAATCCCCTTTATACATGGGAAAAAACAGCCAGAGAAGTATGAAGTACCTATACCTAGACAAATCCACTGTTCCAGACCAAGCAAAGTACACTAGGTGCCCGTTCAGGCATGAAACATTCCAACACCCAAATCTGGCAAAGAGGTAGTGGAGGACAACCTTGGCAAAGACAACACACTGTAACAGTCCCACACCATGAACCCTTAGGAGCCCAAGCACACCCTGCATACAGCACAACCATGACTCAAGCACTGACACAAGCCTTCAGATCCACCCTTACATCTAATGAATTTCTTCCCTGGCCTCTGTCTGAAAGAACCCTGGGAGAATTTGTTTTGATTCCCCTACCAAACAGTTCCCATAATGAGATGCCTGGACTCAGAACAGTTATCCTGTTCCTCTTCCTGGCCTTCAGTGAGAGATGGTAACCAGAGAATAGGGGTGTGGAAAAACCCCTAAAAATCTACAGACTCTCATTAAAGCCCATGTTCTGAATGGTTTATTTTGTATCTTTCAATACCCCCTCTTAACAGATTTGTCCCGGCTCAAGTTAACTTATTCGGATTCATTTGGAATGTAAACATACAGAAATATTCGTATTTATTGTGATCTGTGTTATCTTCATCTGATTTTTAGCTTGACTGATGAAACTAAATAATAGTTTTCCAAATGCTGAACTGAATTAGGTACAACAATACATAATATTATTAAAAGTCTAGTATAGTTTGTTATTCAAGGCAAACAGCAGGCTTTGTGAGTTTATTAATCTTAGCCATAAGAGGCTTGATATATAGACTTGCTATGAAAAAGCAAAAAAATGCATATCTGAACTTAGGATATACATATCTGCATTTAGGATGTAAATGTACAATAAAGAGATAAAAAGTGATTCAGATTAAGAGGGCTGTCTGTATGAAACAATTTTAACATGTACTTCACAATGTTGGTGCTTACAACTTAACATGGGAGTAATATGCCAAGCACATCATCTATTCCATCACCAACAAAGTCTACTCCTGACAATCTAAATTATTGTTAAGAACATATACAAAAGTCCCTTATCATTTTGCTTGGCCTTACCTTGTTGTCTGACAGCCCAGTGACTTGGTCAACAAATTCTTCCTGAATCATGAAGGCAGCCAGGTTAGCAGTGTAGGAGGCCAGGAAGATGACAGCAAAGAAGGCCCATACCGACACAATAAACTTGCTGGTGGTTCCTTTGGGATTCTGCACTGGCACAGAGTTGTTAAAGACCAGACCCCACAGCAGCCAAACGGCCTTGCCCATTGTAAAAGATGGACCATGGGGATCTGAAAGATACAGTAAAGATAAAGAGAGACATTATCTAACAGCTACATTTCCAGAAGTGATTAACATTTAAATATATATTAAATATTTGCACTTTTAGAAGTTATTGTGTTATGTTCTCAAGATATATATATTTTTTATGTATTTATTTAATATGTATCCATTTCAGTATATCAGGCATGTAAAATTGTCAAACAACCTTTAGTAATTTCGATACAAATCCTACTGACAGCAATTTTTTTCCTTAAGCATATGTTTATTTTTCTTTGTAGGTGCTTCCAACATATTAGCTTAAATTATTCTTTTCATGTCTTGATACAATAAAACATTGTTGTATCAAGTGCTCATTGCTTGTGATCTCACAAAAATATATGTTATTTCGTCTCAAAGTTTAATATTTGTGCAATCTGGTTGCTATCAGTTTGTTCATATGTCAGCAAAAAAGATAATAATAGAAAGTTCACATGTGCAGGTAAGGGCTTTAAGTTTAAAATTCTGATTTTCCTTTTTCCATGTAAGCAATCAATTCTTGAGTCTCAACCCTACTGCACTGACACAGTTAGTTGATACAGGCAATAAATATAAACTGACTATGAAACACCATTTTTAGCATTCTTGTTAAAAAAAGTACAAATATTACAATATTTGTAGAAATATCCCACGAAATATTGCTAATCTGTGTACCTTAAATACCATTCTATAAGTTAGAAAAACCATTGCATTCCTCAGTTAGATAAACTAATGTACCTTGGTCTTAACAAGATTCTTTTTATTAAACTGACTATTTTTCCATACGGTGTCTCGCCACCAAAAGCAACAAGGCTTGCTTATGTCACATTTAAACTCTATTTCTACAAATGTAACCACTTGTTAAATTAAATTTTAACTATGTTTAATGATCACTTGTTAAGCTTTCTTGGCAATGTTTTGCAGGCTCGTAAAGTACAAAAATGTCAAATCAACATGTCAAAAGCAGACATAAATACAAATGAGCTACTTCTCAAATGAATTAATATCTGCACCAAACATTTTTTTTAGATCTGTATTGAAATGCTTTACAGATAGGGATTTTTTAAAATCATGCTCACCTTTTCCTTGTGCCAGGTTTCTGTTAAAGCCAAGAGGACTGATGTACTCAAACATGAAGACAGCCATTGCAGTCACCAGTAGGAGCATCACAAACATCATAACCCACACTGATGCACTGAATGGCTCTGAAAAAGACACAATTAGGAACATAGGAATAAATATCAACATTGGTAAATTAAAATATCTATTTTCTTCTTGATACGTTTTTATTAAGCTAAGGGAATTAGTTACATTTTTGTGCACATGGATGAGCTAACAGAGTGAACTGGCAAGATGTGCCCCTCACATTCAGACCTCTTAAAATATCCCTCATATACTCAAATTTGATTATTTGAGGAACAGAAAAGTATAGCAAGCCCTGGTGTCAGCACTCCTGTCCACCCACTGCATTCACAGCACTGCTGCAGAGATTAAACTCCTTCTTTATGTATGGGGGGGAGCACTCTTGGCATAGGGCAGCCTGCTGAGAGGGGGTTGTGCAAGAGAAGTATATGTCTGCTGGCAAGCAGCCATATATGGGTTTTCCTGCTAAGCCCCCATAATGGCCACTTTCACAGCACTAACTGCATGCAACATACATGACAGCATGTTAACTGAAGTGTGAGTATGTTTCTGTGTACAGCATTCTGGCTGTTATAATTTTTGTTTACTTATATTTTAAAGCTTGTTGACTTGTTGCCTTAAATATGTGCTTAGGAACTTGCTGAGAAAGTGCAGCAAATGAATTACTATGCAGATATAACAGGGATATTTATTGCCCTTGGTTAACTTCTTCAGTTTCATTGGAAAGGAATAACACAAAATCCCCTAGATAAAAGCAAGCACACTTAAAAAAATCAACAGTGACAGCTGTTACCGAGAAAAGCTGATGGTGAGACCGTTCCATTGCTACGTGAGACCATAACGCTGATCCCAGTTTCTACGAACGGGACGGAGAAATCGATGACCTCAGAACGCTCCTCATTGATCGTCAGAGATCCGACGGCCATGACGGCTTTCTTATAGACCACCTATTTCAGAAGTGACAATAGAGGCAGGAACAGGGAGATATGATTTAAAAAGATTGAAGAAAACAAATAATCAACAAATGACATCTGATCTCTTAAGGCAGTAATATTTTGTTCTATGATTTCTTTGCATAGGCCATTACCTCTCCCACCATCCCATTCCAGACATTGTTGATCTTCTTGCCATGCTTGCCATTGGTAACCAGGTACAAGTCGTACGTGAATTTGACATACTTGGCAATCTTCTTCAGAATGTCAATGCAGAAACCTTTGCAACACTTTTTGATATATGTCCCACCAGCCTCAGTTGTGTTGCTACAAGGACACAAAGACACATGGGCAACATTATAACTTGGTTTGGGTTTTGCTTTTCTTTAGTGCATATGACAAATACTAAAATGCAGAGATTGTTAGATAGTCTTTTGCAAAGACAAAATGCTAATTCAGGCAACAATTTTGCTTTTGTTAGCTAAATACAGCAGTGCCTCTAATTCATGAAACTTTGTCTTAAAAAAAAGGCTTAGATCATCCTCCCCTGAAATGTTTGAGGATATAAAAACTAAGTTATTTCCCTCTATACTTGCTAAAAAAAGAGAATGTTGATGTCACTTAATCTGCAAGCATCTTGCCATCTGTGTGAATAAATCTGAGAGCAGGACAGTTCGGGAACTTCTCATTTATAAACAGAATAGAAGCCCTTCTGCGCTAAAGAGTACACTTTCAGCCATCTGGGAGTCTCATTTCACTTTTAAATGTGTGCTAATTAGAGGACACCAACCTTGTCCTTTGATTTGACATCCAAACTTGAAAAGAGTGAGAGCAACAAAAACAACCCCAAAAAACCCCAAGCAGTGACTCAGCAGTTTCACTCTGATCTGTTCAACAAAAGTGCACGTAGGACTACATGACCTTAGCTGCATTCTCTAGATAAAAAAAACATATCAAACTACTATTGCTTTCTGTTCTTAAACTTCTTTGATTGAAAATTTATCTCACTTGAATGTCGCTTTTGATTATTATGACAACTTGTGGGTACTATCTAAGCAAAATGGTACAATTGTCTAATAATTAAAAACAAAATGTATGATTCCTCTTTAAAGAAGTAGCAAAACAAGATACTAACCAATCTTATATTTCAGGAATTATGGGACCTATTCAGTCTTAATGTAATACTGTATTAGTCAATTCACTGTCATTGCCAAATTATTGAAACTAGAAAAATTCGACGTTTAATAGTTAAAGGTGCTTTATTTTTGTTTTGGGATTTTTTTTTTTGCCCCGTGGAATGAATGAATTATAAAGACACAATTTATTCAACAAATACCTTCCACAGGAGATTCATTGGCCCCAGCGGCTTGGGCTCTACCCTTTCATTTGTTTCATAGAGGGTACTTTACTTTTCCTTATTTGAATGAGGAATTGATAGACTATAACAACTTTGCTGTTACAAGGTTTGCAGTTTTTTTTGTCATAAAAAGTTAAGAGATTGTATTTTATTGTATTTTAAGCTACATCTTTTTGCCAAAACCAGTTACCGTGTTATCGATGCTAGTAAAAATATGTGGTTTACTTTTATTAACATAAAATGACTTCTGGTTCAGTGCTTTGAGTGTTTGGCTTTGCCATTAACAAGGTCATTTACAAAGCTATTGTACTTTATATCTGCTTTCATACAAAATACTCCATCACTCTGATTCTACATTAAGCGGCTTCCCTTTCCTTTAATAAAGCAGTTTTGACGTGTTGAACTCTGTACTCTATGTTATTATGTTGCCTCATCTTTTATTCTTTTATTCTTTATGCCCAAATAACTTTATAGCCACTGATACTGAGCCTATTTCGCTAAACTTAAGTTTGTTGTTAAACTTGAATGATTCACTTCCTTTGTGACCAAACTGTTGCGTAGGAGGCATTGCTTTAGTCTGTGACGATACAATGAGCTTTCTTAGATCTACATCTTACTAAATAATCCTGAGAACATATGGATCGATTCATTCTTTTAATAATTATGATAAGTTAGATGTATTTTGCATAAAAAATATCATGCTAAATTTGTGGGAAATGAGTTCACTAGATAACACAATCCATGCAGTAAGGGATTGTTTAACATTAGGAAGCATTCAAAAGTGGTTTTATATTTTATAGCAGTATCTGAAAGCAAAATGAAGACACTGCAACAAAAAAGGAGGACAGGTTTTGCCATTTAAATAATTTATCACTTAAAAAAAAACTAAACTAAAAAAAAAAACTAAGAGACTAAAACTTGTTCAGTGGTGTCCTAAAATACAGTAGCATGTAGGCCTGAACTTTTAAGACAGCCTTCACAAACATTGAGGTTTAGTGGATAGCAGTGGATATACAGTAAAGAGGCTGTTTGTGAAGTTACCAGGGAACTTAAAGCTGACGCACCACTGGGCATCACGGGTCTCTAGAGAGAGCTTTGGGGGGGGCATGTGTATGATTGTGTATATGTTTTTTTCTTCTAAGGGAAAGCCTGGATGAGTGAATTTACGTTTCTGCATGCATGACTTCTCCTCATACCCCCATACAGCTCTTATCCCACTCCCCATTTACTGCTTCTTCCATTCCTTCCATCTAGCCCTTTTCTCCAAAAGTACTCCACAGATGCTTGAGTGGGAATTATGCTGTGGAGAAAGCAACATGGCTGAATGCACTAGTCCTTGAGTGGACATGTGGCAACAGAAACTGTTTATGAACTTGGGAATGTGTGTTTATTATGTTCCTCCCCCAAGATGCTTTATCCTCCACCCTACTTCACAGTGACTCTGGCTGACGATCTGTTTCAGCTTGTTCAATATGCCCCCCTTTTTGTTTAATCAACTCTCTTGCTTTGTCTGCAAACATTTGTCATTGCCAAAGGTCGTGGCACAAATCTTGATATTTTTTGTGTATATTTTTGCAAAACCCAAAAATTTCATGGGCTTTAGAAAGGTTGATGCCTATACTAATATAGTTTTTACAATGTTGACCCTTGTTCTTCTGTCTGACAAGTGCCAAACCTCGGCCAAAACTATGTTTAATTTGGACTTGGTTTCATCTCATAAAAGCTTAAGACTGATCCCTAAATCTTGGCTTATCCTGTCATTTTTTGGGAACAGATGGCAGGTTTCCATCTGCGTAAGACTTAATATTTAGATTCCTCATTAAATTCAGACCTTTGAGGCTTAAGTTTTTGATGATCTGAAAAAAACTCTTGTTTCAGGTTTAAGGATCTTATCAGAATTTCTTTGAAAGTAAGGCTGGTTTGTTGCAAAGAGACATATGCTGCAGCCTTTTTAGAAGCTAACTCAAGGCAATGGATTCAAGGAAATCCAATAGTGTTTGGCCACAGTCTGTTACAACAAAAAGTTTGCTCAAAAGATAATAGCTGATAATTTTGTAACAAATAACAGAATGAAACAACAGACACACAGATATTGGAAGATTGATGCACATACACAGTTGTGCCTTAAAGTTTACATAACCTCCTATTAAAGTAAATAATAAATTCAAATAATACAAAACTGAAAAAATTTCTGATGAATAAAGAATTACTTAATGACAATTTAGTTAAATATTTTATTAAATATTGATCATATTTATTTAGATTCATTTTTATAAAAAAAAAAAAAATTCTAAGCTTAACATCAATAACTTCTCCTGCCCATAAAAATAGTGAATGCGATTGGAGCTCAAAATTTGGAAAATTAAAGGATTATTTGCAAGATTTTGTACTGAGTATAGTCCCTTGGATGTCTATTTATTACACAGATAAAGATATATGTATTATTTGCAATTTCTTTTCTGCTTGATTATTTAAGCTTAAATATTTAAGATACTGTGTCTTTAACACATTTAATAAAGAAATTAATTTATTTTTGGGCCATTATATGAACAGAAAAGGCAGATAATTGTGTACAGTGATGAAAAAAGGTTCTAAATTATTATTTTTTTAGGCCTTCCAAAGTCAACTATAATTATGACAAAATATTACCTTTGGCACTAGAGAACATGCATTTCTTACAAAAATAATAGTTGGTGTTCTAACCAGGAAGAAAGACACTTGCCTTCCCTTTGACTTTATTTCTCCCCATGTGAAGGCCGCCCATTTTACAACATCATAGGATCATACTAGTTCTGGTTATAAGGATTATCTTCCTGAACAAAAGCCTGGCACCTCTAGCAGCTAAAATCTTCACATACTAGACCTTAGCTAATAAAATGTTTTGTGCTAAAAAGAAAAAAGCATCAGACTTACTCTTTGATATGCTTTCTGCAGGGCACAGAATTCCTCATGCAGGTACCGGTGAGCCTTTCCACATCCTCCACAATAACAAACGGTTTTTCTTCCAAGGTGACAATCGACAAGTGATTGTCGTCCAGCTCGGCATCGCCAAAAGAGTTGAACCTTGGCCACACTGGGTACTTTATTGTCAGGCTGCCATTGTCAAGTTTCCCCATCTGTTGAGGTGGATGGATAGGGTGAGGGGGTTAAAGAAGGAAATAGATAATTATTATATGTAGCTTAACTTAATTCAAAAAAGGCAGGATGAAGTTTAGAAAATGTGCAAATCTAAATTAAGTGTACAGCAATGGATGTTTGGTATGGACTTGTGAATTGACATTAGTGTTACGAACTAATGAGCCAAACATAAATGGCTATAAGAACATTTGACAGCATTATCACAACATTTGAAACCACCAACATTGTGCTTCTGGCTAGATTAAGTAATTTTTAAGTACTTTAATCATCTTCCAGATCATAGTGACAGTATGTGACCCACAAAATTATTTAGGCAAGGGTTCAATATAAAGGCACGGTTGTAATGCTTGCCTGCAGACAGAAGAGAATGACTTTCCAACAGATTGTATATCAATGATATGCTAGACAAATAAACTGAAAGAAACACACTTCATAATGTCAGATGCACAGAGTAAAAATGTATGGCAGAATTTATTCAGAGATTTTCTATGAATGTAAACATATATTGTAAGAGCAGAATGAGAAGGGGGAATGTTTTCTACCTCAGAGGTTATGTGACTGGTAATATTTTAAAACGTTTCTAGAGCTTTGATGTCCTACAGCAGAGACTTACCTATCTACATTTACCATTTAATATCTGTGTCTGGGCCTATTAAGCTGTGGCTTTTTCTCAGATAAAAAAGGCAAAGAAAGACAGCAACTGACACAAAGGCTGTCATGGCTTTATAATATTGATAATACAGGAGAATAACAGGAAAGATCCTCAAATCATCTCCATTTCAGAACCTTTGCCTCTATATCTTTCACATCACTATCTTCAAGCTCCCTAAAAGCCTGCATCACTTTTATCAATGAAACATCTGCCATGAAAATTTTTTATAAGTAATGCTAGAGCCATTTTTAATAGTGTCATTTTCTGGGATTTGACCCCCTCCTTAAAATATATTTTACACAATTAAGAAATAGTTTACATCTCAATCTTAAAACATTTAAGTCATTCTTCTTTATCCAATGCCAAATAAATTTTGATACCTATTTAAGTCAAACATTAAAACCCAAATAATATTGGAATAACCAACTGGAACAATAATATTGGAACAACCAAAAATAATTAACAAACCAGAAACCGCACGTTACCTGCCACCACTTAACTGTACATAAGATACTGTATATATAAGGCTGTATATATATCTGGATGCACTGTATATACTTCCTGCACCTTTTCCTCCTTTGTTCACTCTCTATTTTTAAAAGCCAATGTGAAAAGCAATTTCCTCCATTGTGAGATCAATAAAGTTTTATTCTATTCTTCTATTCTAACTCTCCAGGTTTGGATTTAAAATTAAACTAAAGGTTTTTAAAGTCGTAGGGAAACAGCTGTTCCAACCGCTGCATTTCTGAATTGTCCTATGTGGTCCACGGCTTTACACGAGCAACTTTGAACATGGCTGGTGACTCGGAAGCATCTTGCTAACCAGTTAGCAACTTAGTGTTAATAGGTTCCCAATGGGAAGTTACATTAGGAGCAAGTTGTACTAAATTGGTGACTTAGAAACAACACTATGAAGGAACGCTATCGAGAGCGGAAACTTGAAAGAGATTCCGCGGAGAGTTTTGTGAGGAGAGTTTTGTGTCGGAGGTCATGGATGAGTCTCCTTCTTCATAAATGTTTTATTTAGAAGAGGAAAGTGGGGACAAAAACACATATCAGTTGTTGTTTTAATTTTTTTTATTATTATTATTATTATAATAAAAAAATAAAAACCCAAAATAAAAACACTGCTCTTTTCTTATTCTAAAGAATAAAATGAAGACCTGGTTAATATTTTGTTGGTGGATCATTTTTGACATTTTGGTAGAATTATAAATGATGGTCTGAACCTCTGAAATATTACTCAGCTCTAAAATTCAATTAAAAAACACTTAATTAAAATGATGAACCACTCACCATACATTTTTTATCTTATTGTCATGCAGTCTGCCTCTGTTTTTTTTGTTTTTGGGCTGGATGGCTGCTTGCCACTTTCTGCTTGACTTCTGATTATTAGAGAGCAGATACACCTGTCTCTTTCCTAATCACCTTTATTTCCTACAGCTGTCATCCTCTCTATTTATACCTGCCTCTCTTTCTCTCTGTCAGATTGTCATGTTGCCTGCCTGCATGAGGTGCAGTTCCAGTTTTTTTGTGCAGTGCCTCCCTATCCTGTGTACCTGAGATCACCCTGCTGCCACTAGTTCTTTATTCCAGTGCATGGTTCTCCGCCTGCGTTATTCTGCTTTCACTTCCCTCACTGGGTTCTCATAGTTTTCTGACTTTGGTGACAATTTAAACTTCCATCAGCCTGTTGAGCCTGCAATCAGTCTGTTCTTCCTATATTTCTATATCAGTCAAACAGATCCATATATTTTAATAAACATTTTAAGCACCACATTGTGTCCGGCTGAATTATCAGGTTCTCTGTCTGGAATTTTTTTTTTTTTTAGAGAATATTGTGACTGGCTGTTAATGGCTGCTGTTATGTTTCTAAAGCCCCTCTCACACCTTGATGATTTAGCCAGTGTATGCCTGACGTCCCTGAATCTTCAAAAAAGCTGGCATACACTGAAATTTCTATGTATTATTTATTTTTATTTTGGGCGCATACATAGAGTATTCACAATGAGTCCAGAACTTATATCCAACAACAGCCTAACTTATGCATAAAAAAAGGCAGCGCAACGCCCATGAAATGTCACAAGCTAGTTTCCTGAGGAGGTAACGATGTGCCCAGAGGTGTCCGGCTGGCATAAAAGATTTATTTGATCGCAGTATGAACCTAGCTGCTATTTACCACCCGCCCAAAATAAAAATAAATAAATAACAAGAAAAAAGAAAAGAACAAAAAAAGGTTTGCTGTCGCAGCAGATTCAGCCTTATTTCTGCTAGGAAGTTTGTGTGATGGATCCATCACACTTACCTAAACTCTTAGCCTATGATGGGGATGAAGTCTGGAGGGGTACTGACGGTATCCTCCTGTGAACCCCCTTTTATACTAAAAAGCTGCCCATATGCCATTATAGAGCAGCTGTAAGTTAGAAACACATTCAGCGGTCATCTGGGACACATCAGATACATTAATATGCCTTGGAGAGAAGTTCTTGATAAGTTTCACGTAAGTTATGCGCAAGTTACTTGTAGATTTTGGATAAGCTAGACACCACGACTTATGAGTAAGTTAAACTTAACATATGTCAGCGATCAAATAACTTACCTGTAACTTAAGGACATTGTATGAGCATACGCTGGCACACGTCAAGAAAATTTAAGCAAGCTCAAAATTTCTCGATGTACTTGCAGTATGTCGACGTGTGCCAGCGTGCTGCAGCTTGCTCATAACGTATACAAAACTGACCCATAACTTATACAACGTATACCTGCATTTTTTCCAGATCATATGTACGTCAGGCATACGCTGGCTAAATCGTCAAGGTGTGACATCGGCTTAAGCTATCTCAATGTTAAACTCGACAAATTAAATGCTATGAAATCCAGGCCCTCTCTGATTTTTCTGCTGCCATCATCAGAGCAACCACTCCGTATTTTCCATTTTCACCTGAGTATCTGGCCTTCATAGTAAAATCATGCACTGAACATTGTAAACATTAGAGATAAGTTCTTTTTTGAAAGTTATACTCCACTTCCTTTAATACTCATGAGAAAGTAGTGTGGAGCTCCATAACAACACAAACAAAGGGCTAGTCTGCCAAACTGCCAAACTAGATCAGCCAACTGTCCAAATACTTAATGTCTCCTAAGAGCAAGAAGTCTATTATTATCGTACATGAAGGCAATTACAGTACTTACTGTACATTTTGTTATTATAATCCTGTTTAATTATTCTAACTTTAAGTTTATTTCCAGTATGATGTCCTAACGCTACGTCCGTGTTATTTAACCTAAAGGGATACAAACTTCTGGAAAAGTCCTTCACATAGAAATGTATGTTTTTCTATCTTAATTTTGTTTTATTGACCAAATTTAAACCTGCAACTATTTCACTACTCATTTTATGGAACAACACTGGAATCATTACAAATTACACCAAAGGGAAATTAAAAACTATGGAATCTAATTAGTTCAATATGACATTTTGGCATTTGGATTTTGAAAAGAGAAAATAAAACAACTGTTATTTTCATCTTGCGATTTAATTTTGATATTCAAAAATCAAAGAACAGACCTTACATTGATGACCCTAACATCAGTTGTTTAGATATTTTAAATAGATTTTGAAATTACTTTATTGTTTTACGCTTGTTTATATTTTTACACTCTTAAATTCCCCAAGGATTTTTAATCTGGCCCCCCCTTTGACCCAGGAGTCGTAAGATGGCGTTGTTACCCGTGGACGAATAAATACTTGCACACTGCCGATCCTGAGCCTGCATGCTTGGCTAAATCATTAACAGCCAAGCAGAGAGGAGGAAATGAAATTAGCATTTTAATTGTTTTGCTTTGAGTGGTTTTCTACCCTTTGACAGGGATTAGAGTCTCTTCTCTGCTGTTAGCCTGCAAGACTGTCAACAGCTCACTCTGCTGTCGGCTGCAGCCCTCGAAATTTGTGTGTGTGTGCGTAGGAATTTGTGTCAAAGAGAAAGCAGGAAAGTATGTGGAGGTGCTGTTCTCCAATGTGTCACCTTCAGTCTCTGGGGATTGTCCGCATTTGGCTATCTGTCTTAGCCCAGCTGTTTTGTATTTCACATGTGAGTGACTACATCTACAGACACACATGTTCATGTCAGTAGGAAAAGGGACTAGTAATGAAGGGAAGAGCGTATGGCTTATGGGGAATAAGAAAGACATGAGCCCTGACATCAATGTGTGTCACAACTATAATAATTATAAAAAGAATTTTGACATTTTTCATGGCATTGGATTAGATGGTGCAGTGCCTAACAAAACCCTTTACTTTGATATAGTTCCTGTTTGTGTATGCAT